CCGAGACACACGTGTTCTTAATTCAGGCAGCCCACGGGCTAGTCAGTATGTTCGGCAACCCCATCACTCAGAGCATCATTCTTCTGTCCTTCACTGTCCAGCCAGCTTTGTGTGCAGATGAGGCAGCCACGCAGACCATGGCTTGGGTTAGGAGTTCCTTTGTCCTTAAAGTGACACCTTTTCTTTTGAACACTTTAAAGAGGGTCTTAGGCAGCAGATTTGCCCCAACAAGTTATGTCCTCTGGCCTCCTGACTGCTGCTTCCGTGGACATTGAATGTGAGCTGGAGGGAATGCAGTCCTTGACAACTGCCACCGTGGCTCGCTTTGTCTTGATGCTGCTTGTGGGACCAGTTGTGAGGAATGTTGTTTCCCTGAGGCTGAGGTGCCATCCGTTCTTGAAAGGCCATCTGTGACCATCCTCAGCGAGTGTTTCCCTCGCCTTCCTCCAATCCTGTGCAGCGGGGCTTTTCTGCGTCTAGGTCAGCTCCGAGTCACCTGCTCAGCACACAGATTGACCAAGCGTGGAGAGACATCGGGTGCACAGCCCTGTCGCACACCTTTGCTGATTTTAAACGGGGTTTAAACGGGGCAGTAGCACCTTGTCTTATCTGAACAACGGCCTCTGGGTCTATGTGCGGCTTCTGAATGAGCACCAGCACGCGTTCTGGAGATTCCGTGTAGCCTCTTGCAAATCAGAACAGTTCCGAGTTAGACAGCATCAAAATTGGATGGCAAAGCCACAAATTAACTTTTCATGGCAGTCAAACGTTTTTGAGGCAGTCACATATGTGGTTCGAGAGAGAGAGAGAGAGAGAAAACACAGTCTACTGTGGCCCTCAGGCCGTCTCTCTGGTGTCAACCCCACGGCATGGCTTTGCCTCTCAGTTGCAGCTGGAAGGAAATCAATAAAGCAGGATGTATTGTTGAGGGTTATTACGTCAGCGTGGGGCGGGGGGAGTTACTTAGTGTCCTCCACTGTTCTGTCAAGGTGCTAAATGAAGCGGCATCTGGAACTCACTGGGCTGGATCTCAAACGTTCCCAGAAGTGCCAGCTTCCCCCCTTTTGGAGGGTAACAGGAAAAGATGTGCTTCAGGCACAAACAATTCATCCGATTCTCCAAGCTTGGATCAAGCGAAATGTTTGCTCTGCAAGTGTATTTTCCCAAGGCTTCCTTAGAAGCCAAGGCAAGGCATGCAGACCTCATGGAATGTAAGGCCTGGGTCCCCCTAGTAGCCCCTTCAGTGTAGTATTAGATTAAAATGGCGAAGGGAGGTGTAGGGCCAGCCCCCACCGCTAATCGCGGGTTCAATAATACTACTTCTGCGTTCAGTAATGCACAATTGTACGGTTGAGATATATAAGTATTATATTAAAGTCATCGAGAGCGTGAGAGATTACAATAATACAGTTGGACACATTACATAGTAGCATTGCTCACCTCAGCCCAGCTTGGTGGTCCACGTGGAGAGAGGGGGAAGGGAAAGGAGGGCAAGGGAAGAGGGAAGAGCAAGGAGCTTTCAGAGAGAGTCAGAGAGAGCTCTATATTGCTGACCCACAGCTTATATACCTTTTGGGGCATGCCAACCCACTAATTACAGGTAGAGACATACGTCACAGGAAGGGGTTACACTATAGGTAACACAGTAATGAGAGGGTGGTCTAGGGGGTGGTCTCTGGGTCTCCATAGGAACCATTATCAGTAGGGTGAAAACTCTGCCTACAGGAGCCTGTCCATTGTCCCCAGAGGCAGGGAGCAGGCCCACCCCTGTGGTGGGATGAGACAGCAGTCGGGCAACAGATTGCCCTCAGGGAAGGGAATGCCTGCGCATCTGACCTCCCCCCACACTTCAGATCCGCTGTCTGCCCGCACCCAGCACTGAGTAGGTATGGTGCTCACTCCAGCTTCTTTCCCCCCAACCTCCCTCCCTCCGTGCCTTTTGTGTTTTAAATTCAAAAGCATTGCCCTGTCCTCCTTGAGAGCTCTGCTTCCTGGGCTTTCCTGGCTTGCAGCATGAACTCACTGTCAGCCAGCTGCACAGGCTGGGCTTCAGGCAGGGGCAGCCTCTGTCTCCCCTTGCATTCTGTGACCAGCCAGCCCACCTCCTGGAGCTTGAGGGCACAAGTGTCCCTAGGTGACTGTAGTTTTCTTTATGTCTGGTCTCTTTCTAAGGCCTGTGTTTCTCCGAGTGTTGCATGTGTCTGATCCAGGGTGGCAAGGAGTCACAGGAAAGTAATGGCCCCATGAACATTGCTCCATCCTCTCTCCATTCCTGCTGATGGTGCCCAAGAAAATGTGACCGTTTGGGGTCTGTTTGTCCTTACAGCCTTTTAAGTGCCTGCTCTCTCCCCTTTCACCCAAGACAGGCCAGGCCTCTGGCCACAGGGAATCCTTGGGTGGCTCTCAGCAGCCTCTGGTAATGTAAAATCTCAACCCAATGTCCGTTTTGTTGTTGTTGTTGTTGTTTTTAAAGATTATTAATAGTTTTATTGACTTTTTAAAAATCATTTTATTAGGGGCTCATACAACTCTTATCACAATCCATACATACATCAATTGTGTAAAGCACATTTGTACATTCATTGCCCTCATCATTCTCAAAATATTTGCGCTTCACTTAAGCCCCTGGCATCAGCTCCTCATTTTCCCACTCCCTCCCCACTCTTCCCTCCCTTAAGAACCCTTGGTAATTTAGAAATTATTATCTTGTCATATCTTACACTGTCCGACCTCTCCCTTCACCCACTTTTATGTTGTCCGTCCCCCAGGAAAGAGGTTATATGTAGATCCTTGTAATCGGTTCCCCCTTTCCACCCCACCCTCCCAGTATCGCCACTCACACCACTGGTGCTGAAGGAATCATCCTCCCTGGATTCCCTGTGTTTCCAGTTCCTATCTGTACCAATGCATATCCTCTGGTCTAGCCAGATTTGTAAGGTCATGATATTGGCGGGGAGGAAGCATTTAGGAACTAGAGGAAAGTTGTATGTTTCATTGTTGCTACTCTGCATCCTGACTGGCTCATCTCCTCCCCGAGACCCTTCTGTAAGGGGATGTCCAGTTGCCCACAGATGTGTCTAGGGTTCCCAATCTACACTCCCCCTCATTCACAATGATATGATATTTTTGTTCTGATGATGCCTGATACCTGATTCCTTCGACACCTTGTGATCGCACAGGCTGGTGTGCTTCTTCCATGTGGGCTTTGTTGCTTCTGAGCTAGATGGCTGCTTGTTTACCTTCAAGCTTTTAAGACCCCAGATGGTATATCTTTTGATAGCCAGGCACCATCAGCTTTCTTCACCACTTTTGCTTATGCACCCATTTGTCTTCAGTGATTGTATGGGGAGGTGAGCACACAATGGTAAGATTTTTTTTGTCCTGATGATACCTGATCCCTTCCACACCTTGTGATCACACACGCTGGGGTGCTTCTTCCATATGGGCTTTGTTGCTTCTCAGCTAGATGGCCACTTGTTTACCTTTAAGCCTTTAAGACCTCAGGCGCTATATCTTTTGATAGCTGGGCACCATCAGCTTTCTTCACCACATTTCTTTACGCACTCGCTTTGTCTTCAGATCTTGTCAGGAAGCTGAGCATCATGGAATGCCAGTTTAATGGAACAAAGTATTTTGAGTGGAGCCCCAATGTCCATTTGCTACTTTAATACTAAACCTATACATATATGCACATAGATCTATTTCCACATCCTCTTATATAACTATATTTACATATGTACATGCCTTTATTTAGACCTCTATAAATGCCTTTGCCTCCTAGCTCTTTCCTCTATTTCCTTTGACTTTCCTCTTGTCCCACTATCATGTTCAGCCTTCATTTGGGTTTCAGTAATTCTTCTCGGTTATGTTACCCTTGGTCACACCCTACCAGGCCTCCTACACCTTCCTCATCACCTATTTGGATCACTTGTTGTTCCCTTGTCCCTGGGTTTGTTAACACCACTTCCTTTCCCCTAACCTCCCTCTCTCCCATGTCCCCCTGGAACTGTGGGTCCCGTTGTTTTCTCCTCCAGATTGTTCATCCAGCTTATCTTATTTAGACAGACCTGCAGAGATAATAAAATGCACAAAAACAAGACAGAGCAAAACCAAGCAGCAAAATAAAACAACAACAACAAGCCAATGACAAAAAACAAAACACAACAACAAGAAAAAAAAGCTTGTAGTTAGTTCAAGGACTGTTTATTGGCCTTTAGGAGTGTTTTCTGGTCCAGTCTGATGGGGCGCCAAGGCCCGGCCCCAAAGTCGATTTTTGGTATTCCCTGGGGACTCTTGCTTTGTTCCCCTTGCTGTTCTGTTACATGCCCTTAGTGTTTTGCCTTGGTGTGGTGGGATCAGGTCGGGTGCAATTCCCACACTGTGTCGCCAGTGTTGTCCCCTGTAGGGCGATGGGTCAGTGAGGGATGTCATGTCTCATATTGGGGCCGGTCATATGGTCCTCTCTGTGGATTGACTACTCTGAGCGGGAATATCGTCCTCAAGGCTTGGTGGGCCAAGATGTGCTCCACAGTTTTGTTGACTTAAAATTCACATATCTTACCATTCATTTGTTCAGGCATATATATTTTTAAATCATTTTATTGGGGGCTTGTACAACGCTTCTTACCATCCATCCATCCAGCCATTGTGTCCAGCACATTTGTACATTTGTTGCCATTATCATTCTCAAAACATTTGCTTTCTACTTGAGCCCTTGGTATCAGCTCCGTTTCGTTTTTATAATGACTGTCAGTTTGGGCAGGTATGCGGCTTTTCCATTTACAAGTAGTGGTAAGGAATGTACTGTTAAGTTATTGACTTGAATTTGCTTTCCAGAGAAGAGTGAGATAAGCTCTCATATAGGCAGCACCAAGCAATGGCAGGGAATCAGGAAGGATTTGGGGTAAAGGTGAGGGACCCTGCTCCAAGAGGCCTGTCAGCTCAGCGGTCTCTCTCGAGAAGGCAGCTCTGCTGACATCTTGGCCCTTTCTTCCTTCCAGGAATGGATCCGGAAAAATTAGAGCGAATCCAGCTCCCAGTACCAAACGAAGCCGAGAAGACCACCTACAACCATCTCCTGACCGAAAGACTCATCAGGATAATGAATAATGCTGCCCAGCCAGGTACCTGGGGATTGTGGTCTGTTAACAGGGTATTGGGATCAGAGGGACCAGGCTGATGGACGGGCCACAGGACACCAGGGCCTGAGCCTTCTGGAAATCTGAGCAGATTTCACCTGCTCCCTCCACCAGGAGACACTGTGTCTCCTGGCCCCAGCCCCTTCTGCTTGCTGCAATTCATGAGACGCCTCCCTTTTTCTTGTTGGTTCTCTTATCCCTCCAGACCAATCCCTGCCCAGCCACTTTTGTCCACATCTGCTACCCCCCTTTACTGGGTTGCCCAAGACCATGGGGAAATGTACCAGCCGAAAGTTAGAGTGAGGGCAGGGAGTTGGACTGTGGGTACTCTGAGGAATAGGAACCAGCCCCAGTGTTTAACCCTCCTCAAACTGTCTCTGAGGTTTGGGCCAGCAAAGATCTACAGCTAGAGCATAGGGCTTGGAAGAGTAGGAGGGACGATTGTGCACTGTGTTTCTCAACCAGGAGTGACGTTGCCCTCCTGGGAACGATAGACAATGCCAGGAGACATGGCTGGTCATTTTACTAGGGGAAGGAGGTTCTATTGACAAGTCGTGGTCCAAGGCCAGGCGTGCTGCTAACCATCCTGCAGTGCACCCACAACAGAGAGTGTTCTGCACCTCGGTGTCAAAAAACTGGTGTGGATTTTGTGTAGTTCCAACTTGAACTTGATCTGTGCCACAGTCCACCTCTGGCCTTGTAGTGGGGGGTGAGATTGAGCTTCTCCGCCATCTCTTTCCACAGATGTAGCCGGTGTGATTCCCATGTATTCCATTTGTGTAGCCACCTTTCATGTTGCTAAAAAAATATATTTGCAATGAATAGGTTGTTGGTCTTGTATAATTCTATCACATTATCTCAACTCGTTTCTGTCCCCATGGCCATATTTTCCAACTACTGATCCTTCTCTTTTTTGTTTTTGTTTCCAACTTTCACATTCCAAGGCACTAATAGTTATCAATGTGTCTTACTGCATGTTTAGTCAATTTCAGACTACCGAAGTTGGTAAAATGTCAGTTTCTTATCTGTCACCATAGTGGTTCGTGCACCATAGGAAGTGGTCTTGTAGGCATGCGGATATTAACCTGATCACTGACAGCGTGGTACTTCAGGGTAGGTCTTGAAATATCCTTTTGGACAACGGCAGTGATGCCATTCCTTTCAGTTTGATAATCCTGGCTAGTAGACCATGTGTTTGTCTGATTGAGGATGGCCGGTCCAATCCATTTCAGCTTGCTAGCACTTGGGATATTGCTCTTTCAGCCTGAGCCCGTCTTCTAGCACTATGATCAGACAGTGTTTGGCCGCTCTTCAGAGGTTTTCCCCTGGCCGGTTCTTTCAGCTGTAGATTGCCGAGCCTTTGAGTCTGTTCTAGTCTGGAATCTCTGATGAAACCATGTGTGACCCTGTGGTATTTGAAATACCAGTGGCATCGCTTTCAGAATCACAGCAATTTAGAAACCACCACAGTACTTCAAGTGGACAAGTTCCCATGGTAGCTAAAGAAGTTAAAACAAGTCCCTGTGAGCAGTGTATTGCCTAGGGCACATCAGCTGCAAAAGACCTCTTTATAGTGATGAAAGCAGTTATGGCACATGGAGGACTAAGCCATGGTGTTTTTAGTTGCTTCATATGTATGCTTAAACTGGACCATGAATAAGGAAAACCAGAAGACAACTGATACATTTGTATTATGGTGTTGGTGAATAATACCACACGGGTTACCAGAAGAACAAGCTTAACTGATTTGGAAGAAGTGTAGCCAGAATGTTCCATAGAAGAGAGATGGCAAGACATTGTCTCACATATTTTGTGAGTGTTATCAGTAGGGCCCAGTCCCTGGCTAAGAACATCATGCTTGGTAAAGTCAAAGGTCAGCAAAAAAAAAAAAAGACCTTTAACAAGATAAGAGCGACAGTGGGCTCAAGCATGGAAAGAGCTGTGGGGCTGGTGCAGACTGGCAGTATCTCACTCTGTCGTAGGTCGGGTTCTGATTTCACACCGATTTGGTGGCACTAGCAACAACCAGGGTAAGTGGTGCTGAAGCTGAAAAAGCCTGTTGACAAGGCAAGCCCGTTGTAGGGAGGGCACAGTCAGCGAGCGGCCTGCCCAAGGCAGAGAGGCGGACCACTGTGCTTAGGAGCACGGAGGGCACAGACAGAGCAGGAGTGGGTTGACAAGGCCACACCTAGAGAAACCTTCAATAATCAAAGGTGTGGGCTCTAAGTGGTGGCCAGCACCAAAGTGGCTGCGCTGGGGACTGTGTGGAGGGAGGGGCCTGGTGATGACGACATTGTGTCGCGTCAGTGGTCTCCAGAGCATCGACAGGTATTTGAGGATGCATTCATCTGACACATGTTTACTGAGTGCCTCCTATATGCCAAGCACTGTGTCGGAGGGACGGAGACACCAGAAGCCTGAGCCAGTGGTCTGTGGTGGCCTTCCATGCTGATGCCGGCACGGGCAGGGCACCGGAAAGCGCGGACGTCTGGGGCTCTGTGTATTCACAGATGCTCTTGAGGAGCAGACAGAAAGGCAGCCCGAGGCGAGACTCACCAGGAAGCAAAGTGGTGGGAGTGTGGGGTGGAGGATGACGGAGGCCTGGGAGGGTCCGTTTCTGCCTAGGGGTGCACGGGGTGGGGTGGAGCACATCTCTCGGGGTGGTGGCTGAGGAGGCCGGGAATGGGCAAAATTTCTCAGTAGAGCAGTCAGCTGGCCTGAGAGAACACCTCAAAGACATCGTGTCCTTCTCTAAAGAGGAAGTCAGGCAGGTCGGGTTGTCTGTCAGCTGTGTGCAGGAGTAAGGGGCTTGAGGCCTGGCCCCCTGGGTTCTCTCGGGAGACCTGGCCAGTGGGAGAGGCAGCGTGAAGGAGGGAGAGAAAGTCTGTCTGGAGAAGCACAGTGTACTTCCCTCCAGGCCACAGGAGGGGTGCTTGAGTGTGGGGTACCAGCCCTCACAATTGAACGGGTCGGGGCGGTTGTGTAATTGAGGGGTAAAATTAAAGAGACATCAAACAAGGTAAAGTATGTAATTATTCACCTCAGTGACGGCCATGATCTCAGCAGCCAGGTCCTTGCAGAGCGGGAATATATTTCTAATCACGGTTTATGTACATTTAGGGGACGTGCAAGCCCCCCTGATTACAGGTAACCACATACATAACAGGAAGGGCCGTACAATAGGCATACACGTGACAGGAAGGGGATGAGATAGGAGTATTCACGCAATAGGAAGGGGCGGCACTAGGAGTACACATGTGACAAGATAGGCAGACCCTAGATTCAAGATGGCAGCCTAACCTTGGTCCTCCTAGAATTGGTTTGACCTTGCCTCTGAGGTCTGACCCTGCCTCCACTATCCTGATGAGCAGGGATTGGGCCCCCCCTAGGGTGGGATAGACTGTAGGGTCTGACTCCTCTAGATGGCTGATAACCCTTAGGGAGATAACCTCTGAGCAGCTGACCTCCAAGTGCGAAGTCATTTACCATGTGTTGCGAGCAGCGTCTGAGGTTTGGCATATATTTGGGGGGACAACCTGGAGAAAACATTTCTGTATCCCACACTTGAGGGAAGTGCTGTGGAAGAAAGCATTTCCTGGCTGGCACAGGCATTGGGATTGTGTTTGGGACCAGCAGGCGGAAAGCTCTGAAGAACCCAGGGAGGGTGTGTGACTGTGGCCAGTTTAGCAGAGCTGGGGTGGGGTGCGAGCTAGGACCCACCTCCTGCGTCCACGGTGGCCTCAGGTTGCTATCATCCTGAGACCATTTTGTTTGTGCAGAGGCTAGGGATTGATTCCCTCTTCTCTGCCATTCCTCACCTGCCGTACAAGGCAGGCAGGGAAATTCGTGGTGGGTGGTAGTGTGTCAGCCCTGGAGAGACTTCCTCCTGGAGCTGCCGAGTCCCATGGAGGAGTTGGCACCAGAAGCAGTGACACTTTGGTCACACTGTCACAGTTGCTTCTCCAAGAGGTGCCAGGTGTGGTGAATCTCTGGGTTCAGGACCCCAGAATTCCACCTTGGCCCAGCGGAGAGGCTGTCTGAGCACTGCATTGGTCAGGATGTGGTGCACTTTGACAGAAACCCAACTCACACTGGCAGAGACAGCAGAAACACATGAACATGCATGTCAGTTTCCCACTGGTTTCTGGCCTTGGGCACAGCTGCACCCAGGGGCTCAAACACTGCTTTCCAGGCTTTCTGCCTGTGGGCTGCTGTGTGGCCGTCTGCATGGGCGCAGTTACTACAGGCCGCTCAGCTATCCTTGGTCTCTAGACTCACTCCATGGGAGACTTGGGTTTGGGTGGTTGGTGGGAAATAGGACTTGCAGCTCTGTCTGCAGGGTGGGGCGGTGGCTGGTGTGGACCAGAATGCTTGTGCTCCTTAGGACCCTCATGGCCCTGCCCTGTCCTGTCCTGTCCTGTCCTGTCCTGTCAGCCCAGCACAAGGGTAGACTCTGGTACCGCCACTTCCAGCCAATTGTGGAATGAGCCTAACCGGTTCTGCCTGGCGCCCTTCCTGTCCCCTACAGAATCACTGTGACCAGGGCTTGGCTGGGGGGTGGGGAGGGTGGGGGGTGGAGTGGGACCAGTGGTTCTCTATAGCCAAGTGGGGGAGGGTGCCTTCCCCAAAGACAGAGAAAGTAAACAAGTGGAAACAACCCTCAGCTAGACACTTTCCGAGCCGCCAGTTCCCATCCTGATTCCCGGTGGCCCCGTGTGGCCTGAGTAATGGAGTGCCACAGAGTGGCAATGGCTGCTTTTCTGCACTAGGTCACCAGACCTTTCCTCTGGGACACCTTTCCCTTACAGTTGAGCTCGTTGTCCAGTGGTACCCCCAGAAACTCCAATATTATGGGTTATAGTTTTCTTCTCTCCCCTCCCCCTAGTGGAGGGACTTCTGGGAAGTATTTGGCAGAGGCCCTTTTAATGGGGGGCTTTGAATTGTAATTGACGAGGAGGGGGCTAGTATGTGGGGCTCCCGCTGTGTAAGCAGAGAGAGACTGTTGAAGGGGGAACAGTGGGAGGGCTGGCCCGAGCTGACCACAGTGTGCTCTGCAGATGGGAAGGTCCGGTTGGCCACACTGGAGCTGAGCTGCCTGCTCCTGAAGCAGCAGGTCCTGGCCAGCTGCAGCTGCATCATCAAGGACGTGCACCTGGCCTGCCTAGAGGTGAGGCTCTCTCTCTGCCTGTGTGCCCTCCGGAGGTGGTGGGGACAGCGCTAGGGGCCTGGACAGGACTTCCTGCAATGAAGGGCTATTTGAAGCCCCATGACCTGCCGTGGCTTCTCTCAGTTATGTGGCTCCTATGGTGGGCCCCAGAATTTTTCTTTCTGTTACACTAAGTAGTATGTACACACACACACACACACACACGTCATGTTTTCAGTTGCTGTATTGTTTTCCCTCTGGTTTTCCATGTGCATTTTAGAAAACGGAGACCATTCAGATGAGTGACATGCAACAAATATAGTTAGTGATTTGAGGTGGGTCTTTCTCTGCATGTACATGCCCATGGGCCTGGAAAAGTTTGTGGACAAGAGAATTAACAGATAATGGAATTTTCCCATTAGCTCTGTCAAGCCCCCTTGTAAGAGTGGATGTGCACACATCCAGTTTGTAAGCACATGTATGCATATATGTAGTGTGCATGTGTGTGTATATGCACACACAGATAAGTTTATTTGTATGTGTTTTATATATGTATATGTATATAAATATATATAAGTACACAAATACACAAATGGATTTTCTTTCTGTGAAAAGGGCGTGACGGTGGCTGCATTTCATAGCACGTCCTGCCCTGCGCCCTGGACCTGCACAGCCCCCCTTCTGGTCACACGGTCTGCTTCTCCTTTACCCCTTGGAGATTGAGCGCACTCCCTCACCCGTTTTCTCTCAGTAAGAGCTACCTAGCACACCACAGCTGCCAGCCATCATTTGTTTTTTATCTGGAGTCAGCTTCACACTTAGTGATGGACTGGCCGCACCGGCCCAACACCCCCAAGGCTCGCCTCCTTCACGCTTGTCTGTCTCTTCTTAACAGGGTGCCAGAGAAGAGAGTGTTCACCTGGTGCGGCACTTTTACAAGGTAACTGGACAGTGTCACCCGGCTGTGTGAGCAGGGCAGTGCCATCTAGGTCTGGACACTTCAAGGTCATAGGCCTTGAGGAGTGATTTCTTTCTTTCCCCCCCCCTCCCCCGCCCACACACACACCAGAGGTCCTGCATATCAGCGGGCCGGTGACCGACATGGAAGCATGTGTGAGGAACTTTAAAATGTTCTCAGGCGCTGCATGAGGAAGTGATTTCTTGTTGAGTAAAAACACGCAATTTCAAAATCTCCAGAGCAGCAGTCTCCATGTTGCCCGTCAGTTAAAGTCATCATATATGACTATCTATTTATTTATATAGAAATCACAAGTTTTATACACAGATAAATTGTCCACAATAAACTTCCACATGAATATAAGCACTGTGTGCTTTCTAGACATAGGAATTCTTTATGAGTAAGACATGTGAACATGTGTATGAATTACATTGTAACTACTCACTCTATACGTATTTGCTAAGAAATCTCCCTTCAGGCTTCTCAGCCTCATTTATCATGGAGGCTTTGTCTCTGGGTTCCAGGTTCTTCGTTGTAAAATATCCAATCTTGATGGTTTTGTTTGGCTCATACCTTAGTTCTTAATGCATTCTTAGGCAAAGCTCATCATTCATAAGCAACAGTGGATTAATCCATATTCCAAATAGACCTGGTCTCTTGCCCGTCTCTTGGCCTGCAGGTCAGACTGTTTGGCGGCAGTTTCCCCCAAGTATGGCTGGCGTAGGGCCACTGGAAGAAGAGGGAGTGTGGCTTGCCCTTCTCTGTTGTTCACCTGGGCAGTCATCACAGTGTCCATACAGGGATCTTTCAAAGCCACCTATCCACTGTGGTCAGGCTTCACCAAGAGGAAAACAGGTCATATCATGTGAAGGGCTCTGATAACCCCTCTAGCTTCAGCTAGTGGATGTCCCCAGATGAGGGTGGCACCATTACCCATTGTCCCTTAGACTGGAAATGCCAGCCTTCCAGCCCCACTTAGCTTCCAGTGGGGACAGACATCCTTCAGGCTGGCTGGAAAGGAAGCAGTCCCTATATAATTTTACTTGGCACCCTTGAGTCTCTGCAGTGGCTGCAGCAACAGCTGGACATGGCAGTGGTTGTGAGGCAGAGCAGGGCCAACAGCTGGACACGGCAGTGGTTGTGAGGCAGAGCAGGGCCAACAGCTGGACACGGCAGTGGTTGTG